CCTGAGCCGGACGTGTTCACTCAGCGTGACCCGGCCAGCAGCCCACAGGTGGGGCCGATGCTCAAAGAAAACCCACAGCAGCAGACGCCGCTTCGGGAGGTGCCGTGTCTCATCGGGACGGGCCAGGCGGTGGCCCCACGGAGGCCGTGCTTCCCCTCTGGTCTTGCTTCCAGTGACAGGCGACTGTGGTTTGGGGAATCCAGATCCAACTTTTCTAGAGCAGCGCTGACCTTGGCAGTCAAGTACGTGAAGCCCCTCAGCCCTGGGACTGAGTGCGCAGAGCCCATCCCAGGGGGGCAGTGAGGGAGGAAGGCAGCGCAGTGGGGAGGAGTGGGGGAGCAGCGGGGAGCAGCGTGGGTCCTGTGCTCTCTGCGTCCCGATCTGCAGCTTCCTCGCTGTGACCTTGGGGTGGGGTCAGTCATGAACCTTCTCTGAGCCTCGGTTTCCTCATCCACACAATGAAGCGAGCATTGGAATCTACTTCACAGGGTTGTTATGAATGAATTTAAGTGGCCAGCTCAAGGCCAGCTGCCATTACTCATTCACATTCTTCCTCGGGCAGGTAGTTAATTTTATCTTCGCTAAACTGAACTCTCCCCTTATTTTTTTTATAAGATTTTTTAAAAAAATTTTTGTTGATTTTTTTTTTAGATAAAAGGTAATTAAGAGAGAGAGAGAGAGAGAGAGAGAGAGAGAGAGCGAGCAAAACATTGAACGGTTGCCTCCCGCATGGACACTGAGCAGGGATTGAACCTGCAACCTGGGCATATGCCCTGACTGGGAATCAAACCTGCACCTTCCTGTGCCTGGGACAAGGCCCAACCACCTGACCATGCCGACCAGGGCTCCCTTCTTTACCACTCCCAGGACTCCTTCCTTCCCTCCTTCCTTCCTCCCTTCTGCCCCTTCCCTTTCTTCCTCTCTCTGGTCTCTTTTTCCTCCTCCACTCCCAATGCACATTTGAGATTGCGTCAGAGTTCGGAGACCCCATGGGTCATGGCCACGGGACCTCAGTTAGCCCTCAGCTAGCCATCTATAAAATCTATGGCCGTCTACCTCCCAGCTTAGCGGCATGAAGGCGGGTGCTGTGCTGGGAAGGGCTTAGTGCTGGGGCATCAGCACGTGCGCAATAGGAGCAGGAGAAGGCTCATGACACTGAGAAAGCTGCTCCCACAGCTGCACCTTCCAGGGAGGCGCCCTTGAAGCCAAGGGGACATCGCAGCCAACTGGGCTTGGAGACAGTGTCAGTTCAGGCCTTTCTCTCAGCCCGGGTGTCAGCGGCTCATATTCAGTCAACACCCAGAGATGCCATAAAGGGGCCTTGTTCCGCTGGGGTTGACATCATTTGGGGGAAATATAAAACTCCGTCCGCTCAATAGATCCCAAAGTCAGTCAGACCGTCCTAGATACACACCTTCCCGGAGCAGCTCACCTGACACAGGGCACCTTGTCCTGGGTGGGGGGAGGGGGGAGGGGGAGCCGCTTTGCACGTGTAAGTCGGCCTGCGCCAGGCTGGGCCGGTGCTGTGGCACATCCTCCCTTGACATGATGCCTATAAATTCCATCATTGTGTGTAGGCTCTGAATCGTCAGGGTTCTTCCACTCAGCAGACATGTATTAACCACGTTCTCCCCACCTGCCGGGCATGGTCTAGGTCCTGGGGACACAGCAGAGGAATCAAGGTCTCCCCCGTGGATTCACTGCTGATGGTGAAGGCAGAGAAGGATAAACAGAAAGCAGAGGGAAGTACTAGCCATCGAGACACGAGAGCAGCAGGGCAGGCAGAGCGGCCCGGCTCCACTTCATCGTGCATGAGGCGGGAAGGCCTTTGTGGAGATGGTGACGTTGATTTAAGGTCCGAGCGGCCAACGCACCCAGTCACCCGATGGCCCCGGGGAATGGCGCGCAGCGCAGGGAACAGCCTGCGCAAAGTCTCAAGTGGGAGCAGACTTGGGAGGAGGCTGGGTGCGGTGAGGCAGAGGGATTGGCAATGAGATTAGAGGGGGTGTAGGAGAGAGGGACAGGGGGGCGCATACATGGGCAGGAGGGGAGATGCTCCTCTGTGTGGCGAGCGAGGCCTGGGAGTTGGACGGGAAGTGCGGGGCTGGCTCTGCGTTTACAGATCACGCAGGGCCTGGCCGGGCTGAGTGCATGGGCCGGGGAGAGCTGAGTGCGCACCGTCCAGGCACGGGATGAGGGTGGGTGAGGCTCTGGGTGAGGAAACCCACAGAAAACCCTGAGGAACCATTTTTTTGAGGCGGGCCCCACAAAATGCTAAGTTTTCAGGAAAGGTCAGAAGGGAACGGGGCGGGGAGTTGCTGCTTCCTCAGCAGATTCCGTGTCCCGAGGAACTGATCAGAGCAGAGCCAAGGGGGGGGCAGGGGGGTGCGGGGGGGGGGCCACTGGG